TATGGAACACTGACTCTGAGCCGGGACCAGAGCACAAGCTCAGGACTCAGAGCTGGGCCCACCTGCAACCACCTAGGAGAGGGCAGAGGCTTCCTAAAGCGCCTACTGTGAGTCAGCAGAGCCCAATCCAGGACCGCCGCGGGGATCCTGCCTCTCCCGTTGCCGGGATCAAGACAGCCCAGGCCCCTCTTAGGGGTAGCAGCCCAGACCAAGAGGAAAGACAGACACCATCCTTCCTCCTCTGGTTCTCCCCCAGTGGGGAGTAGGGACAGAGGTTGTTCTGGAGCTGGGAACGCAATACCAGAGGCTGAGCAGGGGTCCCCAAAATTACTCAGGAGTCTGAGAAGCAGGGGTCTGGAGCAGAGGCCATTCTGGAAGCGGGGAACCATCCATGACAATAACATGTACAGAGCATTTTCTACGTGGTACATGCTGGGTTGTTGGCTCAGTCAACCCTCACAACCCTGTGAGGGAGCGACTGTTATTCACCCATTTTACAAGTGAGAAAACAAACACAGAAAGGTTAAGTAATTTGCCTAAGGCCACACAGCCTAGTAGTGGCTGGTCAGGGAGTTGGGTACTGACACTAAGGCAGGGGGTAGAGGGATCAGTATCCAGGCACAGGCTGGGATCCTGGTGCCCAGGGGAGCCAGGAGGGAGAGGGCTCAGTGGAGGCTCTCCTCAAAGGCAGGCCCCGGGGGCTGCCCTCCAGGCCTGCCCACTGGATCCCCAAACTCTACTCAACCCCTCCCCCCATGCCCCTGGCCCAGTGCTGCCTTCTGATGCAGCTGGGCCAGCAGGAGCTGCGGCCTCTTATTAATCCTGCCCTGCAGTGCCAGGTGTAGGCTCCCACCAGGCAGCTGTCCCTTATTTGCTTGGGGCCAAGAATTCCTGCAGCTGTAAAGTGATCCGGCCCAGGCCCAGGCCTCAGAACCTGCTGCCAGGAAACCCAGCCTGGCTGCACTGAAGACTTCCCGCCAGCGTCCCCCAGCCCCAACGCAGTCCCAGCAGCCTTCTCTCTGAAGGAGGCCCTCAGGCAGCTCAGGGCTGTTCCAGCCAGTGAAGGGGCCAGAGACCTCTGCAGGGGCCGCTTCCTATTGGCGTTCAAGGCCCTATGGTCCCGCCCACCCCATCTTACCTCTGCGGCTTTGAGCTGCCCTCAGAGAGCATCCTGCTGGCCCTGGGCATCACGTCCCAACTTCATTTCAAAGCAGGAAACAATGAGTTTCTGTCTTTCTTGTCCCTTTCCCTCCCACGTGACCCCACAGACCTGGCACCTGCCGTTTCGTTTCTGTCTGGCGGGCACCTCGTGCTACGCTGTGTGCAGCTGGCTCGAAGGGGATGCACCCACAGGGAGGAATCAACGAACTAGCAGTTTTCACCCTGGGACCCCCCCATCCCTGGGAGCTATCTGTGGACGTTTCCTTAAGTTTCCTGGCTAACGCAGGGAGAGGACACCTCAGCTTTGATCTCTGTAAAATCACAACTTCCCTCTAATGGGGCCCAGTTAAGTATGGGGAGAATGAGGGAAGCAGGCAGTGGTGTGGGTGGGGCAGGCAGGTGAGGCAGCAGTGAGGAAGGTTGGGGGTCCCAGTCTTCCATGACATAGTGTATGACCAAGCAAGTCCCTTCCTCCCCCAGCCTCAGTTTCCCCACCATAACTGGTGGCCCACACCATTGGCCCCCTAGGGCTGTTGTGAGGTATGGAAAGGGCCAGGCCAGGGTAGCACCCGGTAGGGGCTTACAGATACCCTAGATGCGGCTGAGGGAGCCTGACCTGGATCATGAGCGTCCTGATGGTGGCAGGACCTCCTGCTCCCCTGCCCGGTGCCACTCTGCCTGCCTCCGCTGCTTTCCTTGCCCCAACTCCATCTTGAGGGCTGGGCTGGGCCTGGTCTCGTGTGTGCCCAGCTCCAGACCACACCTCAGATGGCAGTGCTGCCTGCCCACTGCCCATGGGAACCGGTGGCTGCTCACACAGACCTGGGCCCTCCCCTAGGAACCCAGGCCCCTGTGGACCCAATTGCTTAGGCTCCACACCAGCCCCCTTTGTTCCTCAACTGTGTCCTGGGCCAAGAGGCTCCAACCTGCCTCAGCAGTGACTCTCAGGGAGTCTGGCCTAGAGAGCCCACACCTGAAAAGGTGGTACCCCAAGACCTGGGGCTCTTGAGCTGCCATAGAGGTAAGAATGGGCCCCCTGTGCCTGACCTGGGGCCCAGCGTCTGGAACCATGTGCCATGGTGTCCCAACTTAGCTTCGGTGCCTGGAAAATGGGGATGCGCTTCTGTGTGAAGATGTGCCTGGCACGTGACAACGGCACGAGCTTCCCTCCCTGAGCTGGGCGGCTCGTGTGGCTCCTGGAGTCATAGTCTCCACATCTAGATATCGAGGACGCTCACTTTGCTTCTCCCAGGCTGTTGTGATGCTACAAGCCAGTGTGTAGCCCCAGGCAGTGCCTGGCACCCGGCCTCGGAAGGCCACCATCCTCCCGCCTGTTTACCCAGCACACCCACACAGTCCACATGGGTCCCCGCCCTTGTGATGAGTGTGCTTTGTGCAGGGCAGGAGCTGGCCTCACGGGACAGCAGTGCCTTGAGGAGGGAGGGACGTCAGTCGGGGAGGCATGCATCCTCTGGCGGGGGCAGTGGCTGGAGCCTGCCATGTGAGGTGGGAGGAGGTGGCACTTGCAATGTCCTTCCGCCTGCACCAGCTACAGATGCTCACTTCTCGGGTGGCCCCCAGCCCCGCCCAAAGTAGTCACCTCTGTGAGGCCAAGAAGTTATTTCTCACCAGGAGACTTGACAATGCTGCTAGCAGGGTGGTTTTCTACCTTTAATTGGGGATACAAAAGGCACCTCTCCCGGTACGAGAGGATAAACCAACGTGAGCCCCAGTGCCACGGTGCCCTGCCAGGAGGAACAGAGGAAGGGTTCGGACAAGGCAGTGGAGGGAAGGTGGGCCCCAGCATCCAGCATCCCCTGGAGCCTCACCTGCAGCCTCTCACCCACTGCGTGCAGTTGCAGCTCTGTATCTGGGCCATGGCAGCTCCTTAGGGGGCCTCCACACCTCCACGCCCTGCCCTTAATGGCCAGCCGAAGCCATGGGGCCCCATGAGGCAGAGTAGGGAATGGACCGGAGGCTCGGCAGAACTTCCAGTGTGGCCAGCCTCCAGCCAGGCCTCTACTGGCAGTGTGGGCTCTGAAGGGCTCCTCGGGGCATGGGTCCGGAGCAGGGCATCACTCAGTGAAGGAGAGTCACCCTGGGTCAACCAGCCAGCAAGCCAGCCTGTCCTGGGGGCTCCACTTCTCAGCAAAGTCTCATGGTCGGCTGGGGTGGGAAAGGAGGCGGAGCAGCCAGATCCCAATGCAGCGCTGATCTGTCCCCCAGCCGCAGCTGGGGGAGCTCCATCTTCAGGAGAAGAGGGGGTACCGAGCCACCCCCAAAGCAGCTTAACACCAGAGGAGGGAGGGAGGCCCCAGCCTAAGGGTATGAGAGCAGCAGGGACCTGGGCTGCAGGGTGCCAGACCCCACACTCATAAGGCAAACAGCATGTCATCATCTTTCTCCTGGGTCTTCTTTCGGGGCGCTGGGCCAGGTGGGGGACCTGGGGGCCCCTCAGCTGAGGGGCTGGAGAGGTTGGGCAGTCGATCCGCGGCTTTGGCCCGTTCTTCCAGGAATTTGTCAAATTCTAGAGGAAAGAGAGGGTGAGCGTGGGCTCTGCGGCCAGAGCCCCAGCAAACAGAAAGGGCGGGCAGGGGTGGGGACTACTACCTTCGCTGGTGACCCCCTTGGGCTCTTCCACATCGTTTCCCTGGGAAGGTAGAAGGGAAGGAGGCAGACGTTAGCCGGACCCCAGGACAGTCAGCCGGGGCAGTGGGGCCGCAGCTCGGGCACTGCTGAACCTGAGCATTGGGTCCCAGCTCTGCCCTCCCGCACAGCCCCGAGGCCCAGGACCTGGGCTCCTCCCTGAGCCATGGGGCCTTCCTTAGGTCGCACCCAACTTGCTGAGCCTTGTTTTTCCCTTCTGTAAAATGCAGGTGTGGTGGGGGGTCGAAGCTAACTTGGAGGATTGCTGGGGAGCTGAAATGGGATAATACACGCACACCAAGCCCAGCACCTGGTGCCCAGTGGGTCCTGGATGAGTGCCGATTCCTTTCCTTGGAGGGTCACAAGGGGTGGACGGTCCTCACCCCCGGGGAGAAAGGCTGATACCCAGAGACCAATGGCCATTCATGCTAACACTGCAAACTAGGGAGAGGGCAAGTCTTCTGCCAGCAGTCAGAGAGCCCGAGTCCTTGCCCTGTGGCTTAGTCCTGGGCAGAAACGGCCTCTCCACCTGCAGGAGGTGGCTTCTGGGCCTGAAGTGCCCAGGCGCCCATGTGGGCCTTGGTGCCCAGCAAGGGGGTGGCAGATGCTGGGGTGGGAGCTGAGTCTGCTTCTCCCTCCTTCCGCTTTCTGGGAGGGTGGTAGGGACTGGGGTCCCAGGCACCCGCCCTCCTCCTCCTGGGTGCTCCCATTTCGAGGACAGCTGCTTATCATCTCCTGATCTGTAAACAGGCTGGTGCTGGGTTCCCTCTGCTAGTGGCTGGAGGCTCCTTGAGCGACTTCGGGGAAGAACCTGGCGCCATTACGCATCCTTGGTCAGCCTCTCTAGCCTGCCTCATCCCTGTGGTGGGCAGACACCCACTGGGCCTCTCCTTGGGAGCAGGCTCTGGGAAGCAGCTGAGAGGCTACTATGCCCAGGCCTTCTCTTGGGGGGGGGGCCGTGCCAAGCAAGAGGTGGACAGGTGGCAGGAGACGGGGATTTGAAGTGCACTCCTCTGCTCTACCCCAGCGCATGGGTCATTTCTCTGTGAGAACAACGGGTCCTCCTGTTGTGTGGGTGAGGAGGAAGCCTGAGCCTTTGCGTCCGAGCTGACTGGGCCCCAACATACCACATCAGTGGACAGCCACTGCTCGATGTCCTCCATGAGGCAGGCCTGTGTGACTGGGATCTGGAAGGAGGGGCAGAGGGTGAGGCAGGGAGGGCAGTGCCCTGGGTGACAAGGTAGTGCCAGCTCAGTGCCCCGCAGCTGGGTGGCCCTGGGCAGCCTTCCACTGAGGCCCCAGCTGCCTAACTGCCCGGACCCACCCCGGGCCCACTGGGGCAGCATGTGAGCAAGGGAAGTGCAGAGCCAGGAGACAGAGCTCCCAGCAGCTGGAGCAGGGCCAGGGGTCAGAGGGAGCTCTTTCCCCTTGAGGAGAGGACCCCCAGTTCTCACACACCCTGCAGACAGGGTTCTAGGCTGGAGGAGGGGCTTTGGGCAATGGCCTGGGGCAGGGGCTAGGCCACTGCTGCAGGTGCTCAGGAGCCTCGGACAAAGGACACTCGAAGCCCAGGGATGAACCCCAGGCATTTTCTCCAGTCATGAAGGCTGGGGTGGGGACATTGTTAGTGGGCCAGGGGCCCCCAGGTTCCATTCCCTGGTGCCTCTGCAGATGCAGACTTCATGATAGAAGAGGGCATAGCAGGGCCTGAGAACAGAGGCGCCAAGTTGAGCAGACAAGGCCAGGTGGGTAGACCCAGATGGGGACATTTCACTTTGGGTTGTGCCACGATGGCTCCCACACAGGGCAGGAGTTGTTGGAGGCTTTCTCCAGTTGGCGCTCACGGGCACAGACTTCAAAGTCAGAAAGATCTGGGTCTGGCTCACCCCTTAACACAGTGCGACTCTGAGTGGGTTACTTAACTTCTTCACACCTCATTCCCTCAACCTCTGCGTGAGGCTCGCAGCAGTACCTACCATCCAGGCAGCTGTGAGGATGAAATGGGAGAATGGATGTTGAGAGCTTGGCACAGGGCCTGGCACAGAGGAGGTGTTCAAGAAATGCCAGTTCCTATATACTATTCATCAGTAACGACACTAGTAGCACTAGTACTAGTTAGCTATTTTGGAAAAGACAGTCTTTCCCTGACCAGGCCAGTCTGGTCTCCAAGCTCCATCATCCAGTACCTGAGGCCCCCCAGGCAGAAGCAGACCCACAGAGAAGGCAGGAGCCGACTTCCCAGAAGCAGCGGCAGCAGCAAGTGCCCTGGCTGTCCACACCGGCTCCCTCTCCCGGTGTGCTGTCCCAGGCGCCTCTTAGCTGCCAGAGGGGCTGCCCTGTCCTTGCCCGAGAGTCAAGAGTGGGAACCGCGCACAGAGGAGCTGCAGAAGCTGGGCTGGATGGGCCAATCTGGGAACAGCCTGAGCCCAGGGGCCCTACAGGGCCCTCAGCTGCCCCTCCACACTCCTCTGGGTCTTCTCCTGGGTCCCACTCCTTAAGACAGCAGCACCGTGCCCCATGCCCACGCCTGGCAGGAGCCCTGCGAGCAGCCCCAGCTCTCGGCAGCCAGGCCTGGTCCCTGCTCACCATGCCTTGTCTCACCATCCAGTCACTGAGGCTCTTCTCATGGCTGCCTCCCATCTGGGTAAGAGAGAGTCATGCTGATGGCAGAGGGGTGGCAGTGCTGGGGGGTACAGCTTCTAACAGGGTGCGCATTTTGGGTCAGGATGCCTGCTGCCTTGTGTGTATGTAGGTGTATGTGTGAGTGTGTAGATGTGCTGTGTGTAGGGGTGTGTGTGGTGTGATGGGTATAAGTGTGTATGTAGGTGTAGGGGTGTGTATAGGTGTAGGTGTGTGTGGCGTGTACGTGTATAGGTGTGTGGTGGGTGTATGGGGTGTATGTGTAGGTGTAGATGTGTGTGGTGTGTGCATAGGGGTGTGTGTGGTGTGAGGTGGGTGTATAGTCGTGTATGTGTGTGTAGGTGTAGGTGTGTGGTGGGTGCATAGTGGTGTATGTGTATAGGTGTAGATGTAGGTGTGTGTGGTGTGTGTAGTGGGTGTAGATGTGTGGTGTGTGCATAGGGGTGTGTAGGTGTGTGGTGTGTGCATAGGGGTGTGTAGGTGTGTGGTGGGTGTATAGTGGTGTATGTGTGTAGGTGTAGATGTGTGGTGGGTGTAGGTGTGTGGTGGGTGCATAGTGGTGTATGTGTGTGTAGGTGTAGATGTGTGGTGTAGCTGTGCGTGTGGTGTGTGTAGTGGGTGTAGATGTGTGTGGTGGGTGCAGATGTGTGTAGGTGTGTGTGTAGTGGGTAGGTGTGGTGTGTGCATAGGGGTGTGTGTAGGTGTAGATGTGTGATGTGTGGTGGGTGTAGACGTGTGTGGTGTGTGCATAGGGGTGTGTGTAGGTGTGTAGTGAGTGCAGATGTGTGTGGTGTGTGGTGTGTGTGTAGGTGTGTGTGGTAGGTGTAGGTGTGTGGTGGGTATAGGTGTGGTGTGTGTAGGTGTAGATGTATGTGGGATGTGTGTGTAGGTGTGGTGAGTGCAGATGTGTGTGGTGTGTGTGGTAGGTGTAGGTGTGTGGTGTGTAGGTGTGGTGTGTGTGTAGGTGTGTGGTGAGTGCAGATGTGTGTGGTGTGTGTGGTAGGTGTAGGTGTGTGGTGTGTAGGTGTGTGTGTGTAGGTGTGTGGTGAGTGCAGATGTGTGTGGTGTGTGGTGTGTGTGTAGGTATGTGTGGTAGGTGTAGGTGTGTGGTGGGTATAGGTGTGGTGTGTGTAGGTGTAGATGTATGTGGGATGTGTGTGTAGGTGTGGTGAGTGCAGATGTGTGTGGTGTGTGGTAGGTGTAGGTGTGTGGTGTGTGTAGGTGTGAGTGCAGATGTGTGTGGTATGTGTAGATGTAGATGTGTGTGGTGAGTGTAGGTGTGGTGTGTGTAGGTGTGTGGTGAGTGCAGATGTGTGTGGTGTGTGTAGGTGTAGGTGCATGTAGTGAGTTTAGGTGTGGTGTGTGTGTACGTGTGTGGTGAGTGCAGATGTGTGTGGTGTGTGTGGTAGGTGTAGGTGTGTGGTGTGTGTAGGTGTGTGTGTGGTGAGTGTAGCTGTGTGTGGTGTGTGTAGGTGTAGATGCGTGTGGTTGAGTGTAGGTGTGTGTGTGTAGGTGTGTGGTGAGTGCAGATGTGTGTGGTGTGTGTGGTGGGTGTAGGTGTGTGGTGTGTGTGTAGGTATGGTGAGTGTAGATGTGTGTGGTGTGTGTGTAGGTGTAGATGCGTGTGGTGTGTGTGTGTAGTGAGTGCAGATGTGTGTGGTATGTATAGGTGTGTGGGTGTAGGTGTGTGGTGTGTGTGTAGGTATGGTGAGTGTAGATGTGTGTGGTGTGTGTGTAGGTGTAGATGCGTGTGGTGTGTGTGTGTAGTGAGTGCAGATGTGTGTGGTATGTATAGGTGTGTGGGTGTAGGTGTGTGGTGTGTGTGTAGGTATGGTGAGTGTAGATGTGTGTGGTGTGTGTAGGTGTAGATGCGTGTGGTGAGTGTAGGTGTGTGTATGTAGTGAGTGCAGATGTGTGGTGTGTGTGGTAGGTGTAGGTGTGTGGTGGGTGTCGGTGTGTGGTGTGTGTAGGTATGGTGAGTGTAGATGTGTGTGGTGTGTGTAGGTGTAGATGCGTGTGGTGAGTGTAGGTGTGTGTGTAGGTGTGATGAGTGCAGATGTGTGTGGTGTGTGTGGTAGGTGTAGGTGTGTGGTGTGTAGGTGTGGTGTGTGTGTAGGTGTGTGGTGAGTACAGATGTGTGTGGTGTGTGTGGTAGGTGTAGGTGTGTGGTGTGTGTGTGTAGGTGTGGTGAGTGCAGATGTGTGTGGTGTGTGTGGTAGGTGTAGGTGTGTGGTGTGTAGGTGTGGTGTGTGTGTAGGTGTGTGGTGAGTGCAGATGTGTGTGGTGTGTGTGGTAGGTGTAGGTGGGTGGTGTGTGTAGGTGTGTGGTGTGTAGGTGTGTGTGTGTAGGTGTGTGGTGAGTGCAGATGTGTGTGGTAGGTGTAGGTGTGTGGTGTGTGTGTAGGTGTGGTGAGTGCAGATGTGTGTGGTGTGTGTGTAGGTGTAGATGCGTGTGGTGAGTGTAGGTGTGGTGTGTGTATGTAGGGGTGTGTAGTGATGTGGTGGCCGTGCAGAGGGATGAGGCAAGTATTGTGGTACCCACCAAGGGGTGAACCACAACAGCTCTGGGATGCCAGAGCTCCGAGTAGGCTGGAGCAGAGCTGACGGCGAACTAAACAAAGCTTCTCAGCCCTCTCCTCAAGGATCCCACAGGTTGGGCCTCAGCAACCCCAGGACGGCAGGGCAGGTGGCTGTCAAATGGTCTGGAGGCTCCCAGCGGGGTCTGATGGGCACCCAGGTTTTAGGAACATCAGTTTACCCATTCTTCTCAAATTCATCCATGGCACCAAGCAGTTTCCTAGTGCCCCAGAGTGGAGGGAGATGAGAGTCCAGCTCCCAGCCCACCACCCAGTGCCTGGCTGGGACCCAGCTCAGACCAGCATGGGGCCTGGCACACGGCAGACTTGCCAGGAAGTGAAGGAACTAAAACCTGGCACACAGCATGCAATGCCACTTGGTCACAGGAATTGTGAGACCTGCTCTGAATCCCAGGGTGCAACATGGGCCGCCCACAATTGGCATTTGATTCTGTTTTTTTCTTTTTTGAGATGGAGTCTCACTATGATGCCCAGGCTGGAGTGCAGTGGTACAGTCACAGCTCAGGATAACCTCAAACTCCCGGGTCATAGTGATCCTCCCACATCAGCCCCTCAAGTAGCTGGGACTGCAGGTACGTGCCCCCACGCCTGGTTTTGATGCTGGTTTGTACTTTGCTGTTGGGAATCGTGTTCTCATGGTTTAGTGGGTGAAGGCCTTACCACCAGCCGGACTCCAGCACCCCGGGAGCTGCTCACACAGTTTTAAGAAATCCTACTCTGATGTGGCAGAAGGGGCTGAGCTCTCCCAAGTTATCAGAGATAAATGAGTGATAACCGGCTCATAGGCTTCTGCTTTGCTGCTGGTGGAGCTGCCTGCTGTGCTTCCTCCCTGCGGGGGGGCTGCAAAGGTGGTGTGGGAGCCAGGACACCTGGGCTCTAGTTCTAGTCAGGCCCAGATTGCTGTGTGCCCCTGGGGAAGTGAGCCCTGTCTCTGGGCTGCAGCAGGATCGGACTGGCTGGGATGACTGCCCACTGGGTGGTGGAGTCAACCTCTGTGGAACTTCTGATGAGCCCAGCAGTGAGGGATACACACAGCCCCACTCACCCTCCTTTGCACCTAGCTTTTCACATCTGCTGTACTGGCTCTTAGCGTGGCTTCGAAGCCAAGCAGACCAATACCTACGAGACCCTGGGCAAGGTATCTCCCAATCCTCAGCCTCAGTTTTCTCATCTGTAAATGGGATAAGCACATGGTGGAAATACTGTACTGTGCGCCAGGCACCATGCTGAGGATGCTACACCTGTTGTTTCACTTAACCTCTCTCTGGGACTCAGTTTTCTCATCTGTAAAACAGGATAATAACATATACCCTAAGGGTTTGTGTGATGACTCTGTAAGAGAGGGGATGCAAAGGGCTTAGTGCAGGCCTGGCCTGGGGCACAGGCTCAGTAAATGATGGCTTCCACCCAAAAAAGGACAGGAGGATCTGACACGGGTGCACGATGTGCTCCGCTTGGCGGCAGGTCGCACGCCACACTGGGAGGTCCTGGATTCTCCTGCTGCCGGTTGGGCAGTGGAGTCAACCTCTGTCCACGAGAGGTGCAGGTGATGCACCCAGTGTCCTAGGCCTTGCCCTGTTCTGACTTGGGAATGGCTCCTGAGATGCTGGGGACCCAGTGGCGGAGGCAGAGTGCCCTTGAGAGTCACGACACTGTGTCCACAGTGGAGTGGACTTGAAGGTTTCCAAAACTCCTCCTCCCTGCTTTCCTTCTTCTTTTGCCACAGGGTCTCACTCCAATGTCCAGGCTGGAGTGCAGTAGTGCAATCTCAGCTCACTGTAACCTCCACCTCTCAGGCTCAAGTGATCCTCCCACCTCAGCCTCCTGACTAGCTGAGACTAAAGGTGCGCCACCATGCCCGGCTAACTTTAAAATATTTTGTAGAGACGAGGTTTTACCATGTTGCCCAGGCTGGTCTTGAACTCCTGACCTCAAGTGATCTGCCCACCTCGGCCTCCCGAAGTGCTGGGATTCCAGGCGTGAGCCACCACCCTTGGCCCTCCTTGCTTTCTTAACTTCCATCCTGATCCTTTGGGATCGGAAGTCAGAGAAATGTCCCTCCTGTGTTTAAGACGTCACTGCAGCCTGCACCTCACTTAGGATGCAATCTGCAGTGCTCCTAGCTGCCCTGAGGTCCTCTGGTCCCAGCTACCCCTGGAGCTTCATTTCCTACCCCCAACCCCATGCTGTCCTTGGAAGTCCCCACTCTGCCTCGAGCCTCCTCGGCCCCAGGCCCGCCACCTCACTCCCCGGACGCACACTTCCTGCTATTTCGAACCGTCTCCCATAAGACTTGCTCTGTGTGCTCACTTGCTGAAGCAGAAATTCTCACACTGCCCAAAACACATCCAGATACACATTTAAATGCATGAGAAAACTGTGCTTGGAGCTCTTGTAAAGGGTGTGGGGTCACCCACAAAGTGTGCTTGGTGCTAGACGAGTGGCTGTCACTCAACACACAGTCAAGGAACTAAATGGAATTCAAGGAGCACGCTGGCACTTCTCCCCGCTGCTTCACCGTCTGCTTTTATTCCTCTCTGCCCACACTCCTGCGAATAAAAAGCCTCTAGAGAGGCAGAGAGGAGTAAAACTGACTGGGCTCTAACTCCCTGTGAAGCAACCTGAATACATCCTCTCACACGTTCTGTTGTAGACAAGTCTAGGTGCTAGGATAAGCCCCAATGTACAGATAAAGAGACAGTCACACCCGCAATCCCAGCCCTTTGGAGGGGCGAGGCGAGTGGATCACAAGGTCAGGAGATCGAGACCATTCTGGCTAACATGGTGAAACCTCATCTCTACTAAAAATACAAAAAAAAAAAAAAAAATTTAGCTGGGCATGGTGGCACGTCCTTGTAATCCCAGTTACTTGAGAGGCTGAGGCAGGAGAATCGCCTCAATCAGAAAGTCAGAGGTCACAGTGAGCTGAGATTGTGCCACTGCATTCCAGCCTGGGTGACAGAGCGAGACTCTGTCTCAAAAAACAAAAAAGAGACTGAGGGTCAGAAAGGCCAGTCATCTGCTTAAGGACACACAGGGCTGGTCAGCGGTAGAGCTGGAATGTGAAGCCAGGGCTGCTGGTGTCCAGTTTCAAGTCAAGCCCAGGTGTGAATCTGTGTGTGTGAGCTTGGGCAAATGGCCTGGCCTCCCCAGCAGTTTCCTTAGCTGTAAATTGGGAATAACCACATTAGCCAACAAGAACCGACCGGAGAGCCAAACGAGGAAAGGCCTGTGGATGTGCTGAGCCAGGGCTGGGCCCACAGTGGCACCCAGTGGGTGAGCATTCCTCCACCTCCTCCAGGAGGGCCCCTCTGCTTACCGCACCAGTGCTCTGCTGCCGGGCGTCCAGGGCTCCAGCCAGGCCGTCTGTTGCTTGGGGGGCTTCGTATTTTACCCTGAAAGAGACCACCAGGTCATCAGAAGCTGCTCTTACCAATGGCTGACGCAAGAATGGAGTGGGTCGGGGGTCCTGGGTTGAGGGCTCCCACCCTCCAGGCCTGCCTGGAAACAGTAGAAAGGTCTCATTTCCTGCCTCTGGATATGAGGATCTGACAGGTGACCTACGTGACAGGCAGCAGCAAAGGCTGGAGAGGTTAGGGAGACCAAGACCACCAATAGCTATGAACAAGGCTGGCTAAACTCAGAAGACTGAGAAACCACTCCAGCGCCCCTAGGCTCGTGGAGAATTCCCTGCAGAGCCTTTCTCGAGCAGTTCTTGCTTCCTATTTTCTAGACTGTGGTTCTGTATGAGGTTGCATTTGAAAGGGGGAGTCCATTCTACTGCTGAAATGAGGAGAGGCAAGGTGGGGGGTGTTGTATTTGATGTTTGAAGTTACATCTCCTGGGGAGCCTCAGAAGAGAAGCTGGCTAAGGAGGAGAGGTGGCTAGGGTGTCTTTCCCAGCTGCTGCAGTGGGGATGTCCAGGGCAGGTATTGGGGACCCAATCCTGATGCAGAGAAAGAGCTGCATTCTTCTCGCCCCGAACTGCCGGCAGAGAGGACCTCAGCACTGGCTCAGTCCAGTTTTGAGGTGAAGAAGGAAGCCACAGAATTCTGGTCTGCTATTCCTGCTGGGATAAGGACACCTGACATTCTGGTAAAGCAGGGGCTGGTCTAACTGGAAGCTTCAGGAACTGGGACGGCATTACATTGAACTTTTTTTGTTGTTGAGATGGAGTTTTGCTCTTGTTGCCCAGGCTGGAGTACAGTGGCAAGATCTCGGCTCACTGCAACATCCGCCTCCTGGGTTCAAGTGATTGTCCTGCCTCAGCCTCCCGAGTGCTGGGATTACAAGTGTCTGCCATCACGCCTGACTAATTTAGTATTTTCAGAAGAGACAGGGTTTCTCCGTGTTGGCCAGGCTGGTCTCGAACTCCCAACCTCAGGTGCTCTGCCTGCCTCAGCCTCCCGAGTGCTGGGATTACAAGTGTCTGCCATCACGCCTGGCTAATTTAGTATTTTCAGAAGAGATAGGGTTTCTCCATGTTGGCCAGGCTGGTCTCGAACTCCCAACCTTAGGTGCTCTGCCTGCCTTGGCCCCCCAAAGTGCTGGGATTATAGGAGTGAGCCACCGTGCTCGGCCACATTGAACTCCTGCAATATCAACTTGCTTTCCTAAGAATGAAGTAGGCTGGCACTGAAAGGGGCTTGAGTAAGACCCCCCCATTCCCAGGCAGTCACTTTGAAGAGCGCTGCTGTCTGTTCCTTCCAACCAGGGGCAGAGTTCGCTGGTGGAGTGTGGCCACTAGCTGAGCCATTCCCTGGTTACACGGCTCCCATCCATGGCAAGTGGTCCAGTGACTACTACAGGGCCCTGCTGGAGCCGACCTTAAAGCCAGGGCCAGTGGTGATGGCAAGGGGAGGCGTAAGGTTGCTCAGTTCTGACCCAGAGAAGGCCTGCTAATTGAGGGTCTGGAGGTGGCATGTTGCTGTCTCTAACACATGCTTGACACATTGTGGGCAAGGCTGAAGAACATGCCCAGCCCCAGGAACATGCAGAAACCGATGCTTTCCCTTTGCTCAAAAGAACTATCTGCCCTTCCTAAGTGCTCCTCGCCTCCCCTGCCTTTCTCTCCTGTCCACACGTGGCCCTGAAGCCGGGCTGTCCCTGAGGGCCACGCCTGTGGTGGTGGAGGGCCGAGCACTCCCCTGGAGGAAGCCCGCACTCCTGCACTGGGTTGTGGCCCCTGTGGTGGGGTCTGCTGCCCCACGTCCAGTGCAGGAGGGTGGAGAGTCACTCCTCAGGTGGTCCTGGTGAGGCTGGTGGGCAGGGGCTGGACCTGGGCCACTGGGGTGACACCTGTCTAAGTGCTCCTTGTAGAGACAGCCTCTGTGCATAGCAGCACTAACGAAGATGCGGAGGGAAGGGTGAGGGACACCCCTGCCCTGTGAAGGCCTGGCCGAGGCATCCCTGCCACGGCTTGCCCAGATGCCCTACTGCTCCTTGGCACTGAGTGGACGGGACTGGCTGCAGGAAAGGCTGTGACGGTGCCAGCTGTGGTCAAAGGTAGAGCAGAAACAGCAGCTGCTAAGAAGCCGCTTTCCTTGCAAGCCAAGGCAGAGCCAGTCACAGGCTGGTGTGAAGTAGGGGGCCAGGCAGGTGCAGGGAGGAGCAGGCTGGACACCAGGTTAGGTGTCCAGTTAGGTGACCAGAGCTGGAAGATCCCCCAGAAGGATATGGGGGCCAGCCAAGCAGGAGAGCAAAGGGAAGAGGACATGGATGCTCAGGCACATGACTGACCCTGGCTGATGGCTTCTGCTAGGGTGGAAACCAAGCCCTGGGGAGGGCCTGCAGGAGGACCAGTGGCCTGAGAAGGTGCCTGATGTCATTTCAGCTGTGCCCAGCTGAAGGCAGCTTCAAAGATAAAAATCTGGTAAGAAGAGAAATCCTTCCTATGCTCCCTTCTGCTCATGTTAGAATAAAGTCAACTGCCTCAGCTGGGCATGGTGGCTCACGCCTGTAGTCCCAGCACTTTGGAAGAGTGAGGCGGGTGGATCACCTAAGGTCTGGAGTTCGAGACCAGCCTGAGCAACATGGAGAAACCCCATCTCTACTAAAAATACCAAAACTTAGCTGGGTGTGGTGATGGATGCCTGTAATCCCAGCTACTTGGGAGGCTGAGGAAGGAGAATCACTTGAACTTGGGAGGTGGAGGTTGCAGTGAGCTGAGATCACACAGTTGCACTCCAGCCTGAGCAATAATAGTGAGATTCCGTCTCAAAAAAAAAAAAAAAAAAAGTCAACCACCTCCAGTGGGACCCACCACCCTCTCAGCATCCTGCCCCTTCCCTGTGTGAAGGGTGTCTTTCCTAGCTGCTGTGTAGGAGCCAGGGTACCTCTCTCCCACCCTGCCTCTGAGCCTTTGCACATGCTGTTCCTAGTGCCTGAAATGACCTTCCTGACTACCAGGCACCTGGTCCAGCCCTGAGTGCCCTCTGCAGAATTGCATGCCTCCTCCTCTGTGTCCACAGAGCCCGGTGCCCCCTCTGGGACAGCACTTAGCTCTTCACAGCGGTGGTCCTGGTGCATGTCACTCTCCCTGTGAGACTACAGGCCCTGGGGGACCAGCTCCTGATGTGCTTTTCCTTGTCCCCAGGGCCTGCTCCCCAGAGGAGTGATGGCACAACAGCAAACCTCAGCCAGGCTGGTGATCCAAGGCAGGTGCCAGGGCTCTCCAGTGTGGCCGGCAGTGCCAGGCTGCAAGCCCCACCAGACTCATTAGTTTGCCTCTGCAGGGTAGCCTTGGCAGCACCCCAACTCCATGGCAACCGTGAGCTGCTGGTCCCAGGGCACCCAGGCTTAAAAGTACAGACTGCCCAGACTAAAGAAAGATACAGCTGGCCGGGTGTGGTAGCTCACATCTGTAATCCCAGCACTTTGGGAGGCCAAGGTGGGCGGATCACAAGGTCAGGAGTTTGAGATCAGCCTGACCAACATGGTGAAACCCCATCTCTACTAAAAATACAAAAATTAGCCAGGAGTGGTGGCGCGTGCCTGTGATCCCAGCTACCTGGGAGGCTGAGGCAGAAGAATTGCCTGAACTTGGGAGGTGGAGGTTGCAGTGAGCCGAGATTGCGCCATTGCACTCCAGCCTGGGAGACACAGTGAGACTCCATCTCAAAAAAAAAAACCAGGCCGGGCGCGGTGGCTCACGCCTGTAATCCCAGCACTTTGGGAGGCCGAGGCGGGTGGATCACGAGGTCAAGAGATCAAGACCATCCTGGTCAACATGGGGAAACCCCGTCTCTACTAAAAATACAAAAAATCAGCTGGGCATGGTGGCGCGTGCCTGTAATCCCAGCTACTCGGGAGGCTGAGGAGGGAGAATTGCCTGAACCCAAGAGGCGGAGGTTGTGGTGAGCCGAGATCGCACCATTGCACTCCAGCCTGGGTAACAAGAGCGAAACTCCGTCTCAAAAAAAGAAAAAAAAAAAAAAACAGAAAGAAAGATACAGGTAATAGCCAGGGCAGCCCTAAGGATCCAGGCAAGCTTCAGCCTGTTGGATTTGACCTGGATTTGCGGGTGTGGAGAGGCTATCCCTGGGCCTTCTGAAGGCCCATTGACAAAGCTCCCAAAGACACCACAATAACCTCTAAGGAGCTTAGTGGGGTCAGTGGGAGGATCCCATAATCTAGAACTTTCCTTAGCTATAAGAATCCTGGGCTGGACACAGTGGCTCATGCCAGTAATCCTAGCACTTTGGGAGGCTGAGGTGGGTGGATCACCTGAGGTCAGGAGTTCAAGACCAGCCTGATCAATATGGTGAAACCCCACCTCTACTAAAAAATACAAAAATTAGCCGGGTGTGGTGGCGGGCACCTATAATTCCAGCTACTCAGGAGGCTGAGGCAGAACAATCACTTGAACCCACAAGCGGAGGTTGCAGTGTTTCAAGATTGCGTCACTGCCCTCAAGCCTGGGCGACAGAGCAAGACTCTGCCTCAAAAAAAAAAAAAGAATCCTGGCTGCTCATAGCTCAGCCCTGAGGGTCATAAGCAAAGGGCTAAAGAAACATCAGGCAGACGGTTCCTCTTACAAGCCTGTATGGGGCCAGTTCTCTTGCAGGTCCTGGCAAGGGGCGGGACCCTGGTGGACACATTCAGGCCATGTGCCTATGCTGCTGAGAGCACCACCTGAGAACACACAGTGCACAGGGAAGGGCAGAGCCCCAGCTCGGGAGCAAGGCCACAGAACCTGTTTAATTTTCTCTGGAACTTAATGGTGGCTACGGAACAACAGAAAAAGACTTGACTTGAAAGTCCCTGAGGATTTATCAGGAGACTTCCCTGCTCCTGGAGGGCTTACTATGTG